GTTGTAATTTTTAGTTTTTTAATTGATGTTTTTAGAATAATATAAATAATTTTTGAATTATTAAATTTTTATGGTAAGTTTTTTTTTATTTTTTTATTGTTTTCGTTAATATTTTTGAGGTTTTTCACGTTTGTATTATGTGCGATTCATTCGATTGCCAATGAGCGTATGTATTCATATGATCATAAACAAATAATGAAATAATCAAAATATTAGAAACCATCAGACAAGAAGGTGATATTAACAAATAAGTATATATTTATGTAACCAATGCACATGTATAACTAATTAACTACTATGGTGGGCAGGTAATGGTATGTGAAAGTGCAATAAAATGCAATTTATTTAAATGAAATAAGGATATGATGCGCGTGCCTTAGTTTATTGCCTTTGCCTGTAATTAAGCAGCATATTAATTTCGGTGCATTTTTGGGGACTAATCAATGGTTTAGCTACCATCACAAGCTAAGTGAATATTATTTATATTATTATCTTTCACTTTATTTCTATTTTATTAGATTACTGGAGAATAAAATCCTTATTAAAGCTTTTATTTAAGATTAGCTACGATTAGATTACGATCAGCAGATAATTTAGTGGAGAAATGTGTGGACCTAGCAACTTTCGAGCAATATTATTAACTTCGCGATTATATTATATGAGTAACTCTGTTGAGTACTTTGATTTATTTAAGCAACATGGAAGATGAGTTGTTTGAACACTTTTCAAATTGATTTCCTGTGACAATAAYAATAATTTTGCTTTCCAAAAACTCACTATGAACCTGAAAAATTATCCATTTATCGAAAACCCTATATACAGGCACTACAAATAACCTTCACTGACAGTAAAAACAATGATTTTCGTAAATTTTAAATTTATTTTTAAATCTAGATTTTAAATGAGTTTATGAACAATGAATGGTGCAGACGTTAAATGTAGTTAATTGAAGTTTAATTCAAACAATTTATGAGATATTGTTGTGATCGTATAAGTGATGCATAAATATTGTCTTACCTGTCCAAAACCATTAGCGAGTACTTTTTTGTAGACATTAAATAAATTAGCAGTAAACTCATCGACTTTTACGGTTTCGGCCAGTGTTGTGGTTAAAAATTCCTCATCATGCGCCACATTATGCATCAACTGATTGATTATGGTTTGCAAATTCTTAGCCTTTTCGAACTCTTTGCGCGGGAATGACGACGGCATCAATATAAATGGTGCGAACTATGCATGTAGTATAAAATATGTACAACAGTGTAAATATATGTATTATATAATATATAAGATAATTAAATAAGTAAACTAAAACAACAAAAATTTGAACAATATCTATATACAAACATGTTGTAGACTATCTGTTTAGTTAATATAAATCTGTAATAAAATCCAGTGTTATGGTTATGAGAATTTGCGTATCATTCACACACACAGTGAAAGGAAGTGTTTGATATTAGAATTTCACAACTACTATATTACTTACTTTTACTAATGTATGTATGTATAATAGAATAACTGGCAAATTACATTTAGTGCATCTGAGCTGAAGTTGGTTTTGGAGCGCATAGCAGCGCCATGCATTATAGCCCAATCTTTCGCCTTTTCCGTCACATCAATCAATGTACGTTCCGCAATTGGCAGTGGTACGCAAGGTTCAAGTACCGGTGTTCCCGTCATATTTCCAATAAGTGATCTACACCATCATTGCAATTAATAAAAAAAATACTTAATATACCGTAAATGTCATATCCCATTTGAGCAAATTACCAACTATGGGACTCAAAAAGGCTTTTAAAGCACTGAAGTTTCGATTCACAGTTTATTAACTTCTATAACGCAATACCGCTTTTGCTACTATCTTCTTTTATCTTGCGTCTTCAAACCGTTTCGTCACTAATGATTGCCACTACGCAAAGTCGATGGCTGCAAAAAAAAAAAAAAAAAAAACAACAACTTGTAGGTACTACACCGCACCTACGTCACTGTTATGTGTAAATAGTAAGTTTAAAATTATATTTGCACACCTAAGAGCTAGTAAAAGCTATGTAATTAGTAGTCAAACACTACTTTGCTTATAGATTAAACAAAGCGGGACCATACCAACCTGCTCGATTATAACTCTATTCTAAGGCACGTGACTCACGTTACTGGGAAAGTAGAGTTTTAGTTTTAATGTTGTAACTGGGTTGGTATTTTAAGGTTTTATATATGTTGTGGTTTAAAACATTTCGCTGCGAATTCACCAAACCACGGATAATTTAGAAACCGAAATGAATAATGTTGTTACTAGTTTACTTGTCTAATTGGCAGCCGAAAGTCTTATCAACAAAAACAGCTGAGAGTGATGCCCGATCGCTGGTATTTTTTTTTTTTTAATACCGATAAATATTAGGTGTGTTCACTATATAGAATAAAAAATGCTTAGGACTAAGTAAAGAATGATAGAGATGAGCCCAAGCTACTACCGTTACTTTTTTGGTTTAGGCTGTCACCGGAGTGACCAAACTTACCAAATCAAAATTGAACCGGTGACGTATGTTGGCCCCACTTACGTTCTGAACAGTGCGTTATTCTGAAGTGTATGACGTCATAACGGTGTAATTTTACTCCAACTAGGCTTCGCACTGGACCTGTATGTTGTAAGTTGTTTGTCATAATCCGAGTATGCCTGAGGCCGAAAAGACAGATTTATGTTTACTGGAAGTTAAGTTCCAGGTGGGATGAGGAATTATTGGTAATTTAAATAAATGGAAATGAAACCAAACTGATGTAAGGAAGTTAACGTTTTCCGAAATATATTATATTTTTATTGTTCGCACCCCTCAAATCCTTGAAGTTAATACAATGTGTAAGTGGATTCATTTCTAAATTCTTCCATTGACAAAGGAACATATAGAACCTAACCTACTCCCAAAAGACTGCTCCAGAACCACCGTGGTATCAGTGTATCATGTTGTATCGTGGTATCATGTACATAGTTATTTAAAAGTTAAAATAAAAGTATACGCAAATTGTAATTTTCCATTTATTATAATATATTTAAGGTAATTTTTGCATATTTCGTTTCTGCGCGGGTTTTCGTTAATTTTATCTATTGGTTTATTTCATCTGTTTATACTTGTTGTATGTATTTGTTTTGTTTTGTCTCAGTTTGATAATATACTTTTATTTTATTAAATAATAGTTTCAAAAAGTTTAATGGAAACACTTTTTATGCCAGTTTATATAGCGTATTTATGTTATTACTGCGTATCTACATTTTTACGCGCAGCTATTGTTGCTTTTCTCTTTTCATTTTTATGTTGTTTGTTGTAATAGCTGGTTATAAAACAAAGCGATTTTTGTTTCTAGTTTTTTGTTTTGTTAATTGGATGTTTAGTTTTATAATATTTTTCTTCAATGATATTTCACTTACATTTTAATTAACAATTTAAAGAAAACCATTTGCTTTATATATATTTTTTTAATTACATTTATATACGTCATTCATTATTTATTTAAATTATTTCTTCAGTTATTATATTAATGTATAAGTATGTATATAAATATGAATTTAAATAATGCAATCAATAGTTTCCATATTTTCTTAAGGTATGTTCGTGTTGTCTCACCACGGCAAAACAGAAGAGTCAACTCAAAATTATTCACTTTTTATTTTGCTATGAATGCATACTTTACATTTTCGCCAATACTCCCAAAATGAATGTCCTCAATAGAATAGTCGCGAAAACTGGCAATTAAAGTTGCTATTAAAAACTTTGAGCCAAAAAAAATGAAAAATCAGACTAATAAAAAATTGCCGTTAAATGGATATATTCTAAGATTTTACAAATAGCGTTATAAAGAACGAGTTTAGGAAACAAAAGCTAAAAGTGAAGAATAATTTGCTCTAAAAGATTAAATATTAATATTAATTGAACAAAATTTGAAATTCTTTCTTTCACTAAAAGTGATACAGCAATCGTAAGAATTTTATTTTTGTCTGATTTAAAAAAAAAATATCAATTTAAATCTTTATATAAACA